AAAGTCTAATTAGAACATGTTGTTTTTGTGCAATTTTATAATGTCAGTCTCTTTTCGTAAGTTGTAGTTTTCCACTTATATACAGCGAATATAGTGCTGTGCGTGTAAATGTTTATAAAATAATAATGTGGATAGTGGAAGATTCTTTTACTCTCAACGTTTTACAGGTAATGTTGGCAAAATTATACTCCTTAACGTTTAAATGGCATGAGTGATCTAGTTTAGAGCCTATATAGAGGTAAGCCTTTATTGATATTTGCCATCTTGAACTATTTAATCAAAACAGTCGTAATGAGAATCTCCAGATGTACGTGGAATTTGATCAACTGACCTAAAGGATCATAACAAAGTTAACTACTGAACATCTCGCCCAGGAGGTATATCCATTTAATATGCATGCCAAATAGTCATGAAAAAAGATGACGGACCTCCACCATACGTGACCTCAACCATATGGCTATGTTTGTCCTCAACATGCAAATTCAACGCTGATACATCACCTGTATCTTTTGTCTCCGATAATTCCAACTGATCTCCCTTCCAAATAATCTCTTACGGTTTATTTTTCGAAAGGTGTCAGTCGGGAAGTTGTAAATGGAAATATGACAAAAAGGACGAGCGGAGACAGATTCTCAGAAACGCAGTTTATATGGTCGGGCCGATAATTGTTAATATACATGAAGTTCACCACTTATAGGTTGTCAAAGGTCTGAAAAGGCTGAAATAACTCTCTGTAACTGCAGTAACGTATAAGCGACTCACAGTTATTTAAAAAAAACCAATCAATAAATAATATGGCAAAGCAAACAATTTCAGAGGCGTGAAGTTATTTATGGAATTCCTTTGCGACAATAAAAGAACATTCAGTGAATCTAAATTACAGTCAGAATCCCTATAATCAATTTCACTTTGAAGCTAAAGCAGCTGACTTTATAAAAATATTACAAAATTCAACTTCGGCATTGCATTTGAACTTATAAAGTAAAATGAAAACCATACACTGTGTTGTCAAAATCATGAAATGAGGATAGAATCCGGATTCTCACTTTCTCTGAGAGAGATCGAGAGGGGAGGGGCGGTGGGGGGGGGGGAGACAACCCTTCGAAACACTAAACACTGCATATTTAGAGTAAACGTGTAACTATCTCTGTCGATTTTGAAAGAAGAGATAGTGTGTTTCAGATTGCAGTCGGCAGGGGATAAACATGTTTTCCTTTTATGACGCATCGAATGATAATAAAAGGATAACTTTGTACTGGTTTTTTTTAGCCAATGCGCAACAGTTAGGCTGTCGATCGATGAAGTATCTGCATTGCAACAGACTTCAAAATCTCCTCAAGGTCCCGGAGGTCTTATACGGATGACAAGGGGTACATCTTATTTGTCACAGCTCTTTAGTCTCGTCTTTTATGCACCAAGAAAACCTTATAAGTGCCTACCCTCGAGCGAGCTTAGTCTCCAATGGTCCGCTAAAAGAGAGAACAGGGTGTGACTGGGGTACATTTTCACAGCATGGAAAAGGTTGCATTGCACCATAGAGTAAAATCCCTTCCGTGCACGTTTCAAATGGAAAGTCTTTAAAGCTATCGTAAAATCAATAAAAGGAAAAAATATCAATACTTTTTGCATTTATACAGTTTCATTTTGCTGAAAAAGGACAAGGTATGGTAATTGGTATCTGCATCGGTCGGGGTGTTCATTTTACTGGTATGTATTAAAGCAGATTTCGAAGTCATTACAAATTCACTACCCATAGATATTGAGTCCTGTGCAGTTAAAGTAAGAACCACTGTGAATTAAGTTGTTTTGTGGTTAACAAAAGTTCACGGATGCGTAAAGAAGCAGACGAAGTGAAGGAGTAATAACCGCTTAGATCACAAAAGCAAAGATGATTAATAAGACTCTATACTGCAGATTCACTTAGGCCTAAACCAAATTATCAAGCATGTTTCAAATTAGTCAGCAAAGATGCTGGTTGTGCATCATTACAGTTGGCAGTGCATGCAGCGAAAGCGCGCGGCAGGAAATCTCTTTTGACTTTCAATAAGCCTAGATGCTTATTACTTTGTGAGTGCACTGGTTTGGCGCGAATACTTGGCGCCGATCCTTAGTGAGCATACTTTGTGATGCCAAGCGTGCCGTTTAGTTATTAGGTCCAATCTCAGCCAAATGATAATGAATTCCCCATTCGAAATAAGCGCTCTTTGGCAGAACTGCACCATCTTGTTGAGGTCGTCAAGCTTTGCATGCTTTTAAATTTATTACAATTGCTCCAACCCACTTTCGCACGAAGCATAATTAATTTTTTCATGAGGGCCGCTATCGAAACAACGCTCATTAAGTGTAATTTTTGAAAGAAGATTCTGCTAAGGCAATACATTAAATGGCAAATCAGAATTGTTATGCAAATTAAGTCTAGAGGGTAGGTTGATTAAAAATAAACGCATAGGCCTAACAGATCTAAAACCAGTAATAAAACTAAAACAATTGTATTTACATGGCACTTTTATTCAAAACAGAAAGTGCTTTGCATACAAGTCGACCGAAAGCCATATGGCCGATGAATATGGATACACATTTTAATTTCCTTGGGATCATTCACACGCACCTTAGGACTTTTAATTCATCACCGTCTTACAACAACACCCACGCTATAACCCAACCTGCCCTGCAGGTATTTGGAAATAGAAACAATTGCGTAAAAGGACTTTCTGCCACAGTGCAGGCATAACAACATCAGAAGAGAGCCATACCAAGGATTGCAAGGAATACATAACAACCATAGAGAAAGGACACACCTTGCTGTGACCAGTCCTCCATGCTGTGACGTGATTTGAAAACACTCCAGAAGTTGTCAGTTTCCGTGGTAGATTTTCTTTAAAATATACTCATGAACCTCACCCTACATCTGCATATGACAACAAACACGAACAAATGGGTTTATGGAAGATCACGCTCTAGAGAAACAAGTTACAAAAATCCTTTTCGTATCTTTTTTCTAAATGAGTTGATCTGACTTTAAAGGAGATTTGTAGAAAGCCTCTGTTTTTCCTTCAAATAATATTAAATGTTTAGCCAAAGTTGCTACCGAACATATTTCCAAGTTATACTCACCGATATTACGCCAGCAGTTAAAACTTCAAGCAGCGATGAGAATGAAGGTGCGACTGTCTGGCAATCCTATGAATTCGTTCAAAACTCACTTGATGCAAAGTCGGAAGTGGTCAGGGACCGCGCAAATTGTACACGATGCGCACTTTCCCCCAATGCCAGGGGAAAAAATATATGTAATATCCCGTTGATCCTATACGTGCAAAGCCTATCGTTAGACACAGTGCTTGCTCTTTTATACTCGGGACCGCACATAAGGCTACCGCCCACAGCGCACTGTGCTATGCTGCTGGCTGTCACAGTGGTATGCTGGCTGTCACATGCACGCATCATCCCACGACTTCATTGGCTGACGCAGTGAAAGCAGTGACACTAATGATGCAGCGTACACACCAACATGCTCTGCCGAGAAAAGGTTTCCCTTCGGATGGAGAATGTAGTTTGAAGTGGGCCGGCCGGGAATGGAGAAAAATTCACCAATTTTTAGCAGGTGCAACGCTTGGATTGACAGACAAGCCATTAGGGACGATCAATTAGAGAGAGAAAGACAGTCAAACTGACGGCAAGAATTAATTCCAAAGAAACAACGTAATTAATGATTTTTTCCCTTTGCGTTGGGGTTCGCGGTATTTTTTTTCACCTGAAGGGGTAAAAAGTTCATGGCACGTGTTTGAGAGTTTGCGTCAACAATTTCTCGAGTACAATGTCAAGTCATAAGATACCTCAAACTTGAAACAATGAGTGAATTTGTCAACTATGGGGACAACTGCGTCTGCCAGGTCTGACGCGTAGGCCCTGTATACAGTCCATGCCGATAAGGATTTGATTCAGTATTACATTTGTTGCTCATCTGCACTCATACCATAAATAGGGCTAACCCTCGAAAGCAACACACCTTTTGAGTACTTGGCCTGTTTGGACATTAAAATACTCGTATCTCATCGAATATATTGCTTATAGTGCAAACCAGTTTTAGCAATGAGAAAAACCATTAGGATAGGCCTAAGAGCCAATATTTTCATGTAATGCACGTTGCTTTTAAACTGGATACGCCATATTTTCTGCTTAGCGTATAGGTATATAGCGGGCGCCATGAGTAAAACCTTTTCCTATAAACCCATAACACATAACTCACATGACTTTATGTCCCCACAGGCTGACTTCTATAGGCTGGAAAGAGACTAACTATGATTAAGAAGTCCTTGTCATGTCACATTGGCTTACAGTTAATTCAAAACATGCGAGTGTTAATGCCCTCGACGAAGGCATAACTTTCGACACCTTAAGACGTCCTTTTAACTCTTGCCATCTTCAGGAAATCTTCTGCGTATCAAAATTAATTTGAAAAGACGCCATTTGATACTCAAGGTGTCAGCGAGGAATGAGGGGATGACACAAGGAGCTGACATAGCCGTAAATATTTTAAAACCTATGTAAATCTCTTTGGAAGTTTCGCGAAGGTACCAACGTAGCTGATTTGTATTAGCGCGAGTCATGACAAGTGACACATGGCCAAAGCACCCATGTCCTTGTGAAGCATTAATTAGGAATATTTACCCGGTTCGATTAATTACAATGCAATTATTATTTTTATTTGCGATGCGAAACTAACTTCAGTGAAGTCCTTCAGCAAATTAATAAACGCTTCATATTACGATTGATTTCAGTTTGGACAGAATTAGGAATGTAAACATATATTTGACATAATTTGAAATATTGACGTTATAGACTCGACCTTCAATACAACGGGTCGTTACCAATGGGAGGATGCCAATAATTTGCTACATGCACATTCGTGGGCAAAAGTAGTAATGCTTTCGAGTTCAAATAGAGAAAAGGTACTCACATTTTTTGCAGTCATGTTTTTGCCAGAAGTTACCAAACTTGACGATAACCATGCATCGAGCTCTCCTTCATCCAGGGAGGATGATTTGATGGAACATTTCTGGCACAGGAAATCAGTTTCACGTGAGGTTGGTCAGCAAACCTGGAATGTTTGAAGGGAATACGTAAAAAAACATCAGTTTGTTGCCAAAGGCTGTTTTCTTCTTCATGTTGAGAATTGAATGTCGGACTCCGTGGTTTACCTTTACGGGAGGTGTAAGGCATTGCGCGGCTCAAATGGTAAGTCTAACCGCTTCTGTTAAAGTATTGTAAAATAAAATAAAAAGAAAAATAATAGAAAACGATTATCCTCAAATAATGGTGTAAAAGAAACAATCATTTTTATTGCAAGTTTTATTTTTTTTTAAAGGCACTTCTTCAATTTCCCCTTCCTTTTCGTACAGTCCGCTCCGCGGCACTCATCTATAGAAAAGGGGATTTTTTTTTTATTATGGAGTGCACTTTGCGCAAGGGTGATACTTTCTGTGAAATCTATACAACCCGTTTAACATCGATCAAAAGCTGCCACTTATAGAACGCAGCTGACATCAAATATCTTTTTCCTTTGACCTGATTTCAACATTTTAAAAAAGGAATAAAATCTTTCCATTTTAGGCCAGCTGCGCATTCTTCACTCGTTTTAAACGTGGGCACACATATTGGTATGCAATTAAAATGGATACCTTTTATGTGCTACATGCCTTGTAGCAAGCTAAAGGGATATGTGTACATAAAGTTGAAATTGAATTTGGAGACGGAGCATGCCAAGCCAAAAGCACAGGGTTTTAAATTAAGAAATAGAATGAATGGCGCTCTGGAAATCATTACTAAATATGTCTCCATGGTGTCGTGAGTTGGGGATTTCGTGTGTCTTAGTCACCCCCGCCTTAGATATATTCCAAACGGATCGGAAATCAAAACAGGTGTACCGATGTTTGCTTCACTTTGAATTGATAAAGTTAAGTAAACTCTAAATGAACAGTTTCTAAAACTCTTTTGTAGATTCCATTTGGGGTGTAGTTTTCTATTTTAATAACGCACAGTGCAGACAATCAGTACAGATATCAATACTTGATAACCTTTTGTTTTGTTTAGCTTTCGAGGTTTTTCCAGTACTTGAACACGAGAAAGAGGCAGCTGGTCGGTTAAGTAACAACTAGACCTAATGTATGTCTATAAAGTGAATTCATATTTCAAAACAAAAGAGTGACTGATTATGTTTGAAACAGGTATTTTAACGACAGTAGGGCCTACTCTGAGTGTCTTACTTTCCTAGTTATCAATTGCAAATGTATACTATAGAGAAAATGACGGTCAGTGAATTCATTAATTACTGTTTATAAAACGCACGATTTGTTGTTGGTAAATATTGTCGTGCATAGTAATACACGAAGAACACAACATTTGACCAGTGTCAAAAAAATGTCAAAAACAATAGCAACAAACTTGAAACAGCAAGTAGCAGCAGTTGCAGCACCATGTACTATACTACCATTTACTTGCAGATGCAAGGCAAGTATCAGCAGCAGAGTAAGCACAAACATTATTATTAGTTATTGCAACATCAACAGCAAAATAACTTATATGAACTCCACAAGTACCAAGAAAAACTGCATTATACAAACTTGCTTTGGGAAATAAATGTACTCCTTTACGACCGTATCAAGGATCAGGACACTGTATAAACCAACAATTTACTGAAAACAAAAACCTTGTGCCATAAGAAGATTCAACTGTATTTGTTAAGTTACCGAAAGCAATAGCCAAATCACATTGAGATATTATATCCAAGATAATTGCAATTAAGAAACTGCTACCGAATAAACGACGACTCCCAATAACTGAGATTTCTTTTTTTGGTATAGACCTATAAAGAGGCTTCTCCCCTCCTCGATCCCTTTCTAAACGGTCATTGTACAGTACGCGTGTTAAATGATCGATGAAAACCCGTTGTGTCCTTGGCGATGTGCGTTTTGATAATAAACCAAATCAGTTATCAAAATAAAGATGTTGGCACATTGCGGAATGGAGCGCCGGATAAACGTATACCATGCTTTAGCTACTTGAGTAAATTGCACCTTCGAGCGCATAAACTAATAATATTGTAGCAGTATTGTTTATGGTAAACAAACTGTTTTCGTTTCTCATAAAGGTCGTGCCGATCGACAGCATCAGATTTGCAATGGAAAACGGAAATGATAAAAGACGAATCGAGACATGAAATGTCTTGTTATGGATGGGATGGCTTCCTATTTTTGATTAAAGGGTAAGTGCAGTATATAAAAGCATCATCCCTCATGTTCTATTATTTTTTTGGCAAAAAATAACGAGGTAAAATAACATCTTTGAAATTGAAAAAGGAAAATCTAATAATTTAATTTTTATGGCATGATTAATACCTTTTATTATAGAGCCTGCTAACTTTTTTGTATTGATAGACCTGGAGAAAACGAAAAAAACAATCGGGCGTGTTCATAAAAATCTTTCAATGCAAAATTTAACTTACTTCTTCGCCGATGCAATACACGCCAATTATTTGCTGTGTTCTTATTTGAACTTGAATAACAATCCCTATTACTATACCTCATACATATTCATGATCGAGAGCCGAACTCTCACTGGTCAATTCACGCACAGGGTAAATACGCATGCGTACTAGATTGTCGCACGGGTTACCGGTGCGGCAGTCTACTACGCATGCGCTTTACAAAGCAATCGTGGAACTGTCGCACGGGTGTAGTACGCACGCGCGAACATCGCCCAAACGAGCTACACACTTACGAAGAGATGGTTGCACGGCACGTTATTTCCCGAGCTCAATGATGCCAAACTAGAGAATATTTATGGACAAAAGAGATGCATCCTGTACAAAAGAATGTTGTACACACTGTATTTACAGCTGCACTGCATTGTAAACGTACTGAACTATATAGTGAATTTGAGCAATACGATTCTAGTGGTGAACTGGACAAGTTTTTCAAAAAAACGTTTTTGAGGTGCATACTGCAACGGAAAAAACAAACATATCGGCGCTGCATATGTATGAGGCATAGTACAACAAATATAACATGGTTTATTTCGCCTCGGGAACTAGTTTGTCAACTTTCAATACCTATGGGAGCGAATATCGACTGTCCACTCTCAAACCATGTTATATTTGTATATTGACAAAAAATATCAAATTATATGAATTGTGAAGATTGCCTTGAGATTTTCACTAAGATAAAGCCATACAAATTTCTCAGTGTGCAATTTTAAGACAAAATGAAACGGTCAAAATGGGAAAACAAAACGAGATACCTAATTGTGTCGATACCTAACATTTTGTCGACACAACGAAAACAAAATCCCGAAGGCATAATGTACACGATGCGATACTTGTTCTCTGATGCTGTTAAACATGCACACAGCACCATCTCAAGTCCTTTCTGAGACCATTGCATGATAGAGAGAAAAAAAACATTCGAAAGAAGAAGACAAGATACGGGACTGAACTTGTATAAGTTCCATCGGGCATGATAGATGGTGATAATGTGCCTCGAAGCAGTCACGTTATATAGGAAGGGACGTAATGAAACTCCAAATTACGGATAGAGGCATTGCAATGGCAGGATCCTGTGTTCTATTCTGGCATCCACTATACAACCAGGCATTGCAATCTCATCCCATGCAATCCTATCAAGGCATCATACAAATGATAAGCGCAATACAAAAGACGGGTTTAAATTTGGATGTCAATTCACAGTGCAAAAACTACGAGTGATTTTGATAAGCACGTTATGCAACTATTACAAAACTTCACATATGTTCCTGACAATTGAGATAAAATTGTCGAAGCGTGAAAAGGCAAGTATTGCTTATCTGATAATCTAACAATGAACAAAAACTAAGATGTGTGTATTTTGCATAGGCTTGGAATTACTTTTAAAATGTCAGGTTTATGATGATTTGGGTCATTTAGCCCGAGGCTTTTCATTTAAATATACTGAAAAGTCATTATAGGTGAGTTACGAATTATCGAGATCGAGGGTGAACTTGATTTAAGTAACCGCGCACGACCGTCTATTAAATTATCTAGCGTCGGATAGAATAGAATGATCGAATTGACAGCCAGTGCACAGTGAACTCATAAAGTGCGCGGTTTTTGGATGAAACAATAGAAAAAATCTCAAACAAATAAACGAACCGAAAGATAAAGTCAATAAATTCAACTTAATTTGAATTGTGAGTATTGCGACATATTTAACATGTCATAAAATGCAACTCGATAGTGCGACAGACGCAAAAGGGCAAGTTACGGACGGGAGTTGCACTTAAAATACACATTTAATCATAAGCTAACAACAAAGAATAAATGATTGATACAGTTGCACTATTAATTTTTTGTTCAAATCTTTATGCCTGTCACATTATATATAGCTATTCTAACGCACAATCAGAAAACTATTTCGTTGAGCCTTATATTATATATTATACATGGATCTGTGTGTGTGTTCAAGGGAGATCTAACTGCTCGTCAGATATGTTCATTGTCACGATTCTGGAGGGGAAATTGCCTGGAGCTGATCTAGAGCAGTTTGTGATAGTTAACGATTTTAAAATTGCAAGATTTTGTCCTCTGAAAACCTAAGCTTAGATTAGTGGTGCAATCTGTCACCGTGTTAATGTTCTCATGTGCCGTAGAATGGTATGTGTAGCCTCCGTACACTGACAAGTGGAAATCGTATGGTAAAAGGATCCGCCAGCCACAGGGACCCGGACGCGATAATTCCCCGTTCCCTGGACCATCCCGTACCCCTAGGCTGAAGCTTTTAACCAGCCAGCAGTGTCATGTGGCGAAGAAGGCGGGATGAAATTTTACGCATCATATGATGGCACCCAAGCTTCACAAATTAGCTCTAGATTCAGGCTGCATGTGTGAGGAAAACTCGCAGTAAACTCAACTCAACCTAATGTAATTCCTTACATTAGGATTTCTAAACTCCATGTGAGTATTATCATGTTACATGTTTTCACGGCGAGAATGGATACACATCATTAACAATGAATGAGAGGTCTACCCATGCGTATCACTGTTAACGATTAAAGCACTCACCTCGAAGA